TCAGTTTTGGTAATTCCTCATCGGAATCAGAAGACACTTCTCCAGACTCAATTCTGGAATCATCTTTCACCATATTGATAATGTCAACTTCAGATAAATTCCCCTCAGTTGATAGTGATTCAAGTATTGTTCAAGCTGTCTACCCATATTATCAGACTGCAGACTTCATGACAAATCTCATCCAATCATTTTATTTTATCATTCTCGAGTTTCACCCAATCTTTTTATTTATATCATGTGATGTGACTATAAGGAGGTAAATTTTCATATGTCTACTATTTATCGGTTATGGAGGCAATTTTACTATGAAATTGGTCGGTTCCGTAAAAAGGTGTGACTGTAACCCAATTGTGCTTATAGAGGGGGTGACTGTAGAGAGGGACGACTGTAGTTATATGTGAATATTCGAGTTGCATGACCTAATTTAACGGTTTTGTAAAATAAAAGTCGGCTCTACATAAATATTACATTGCTCGTTATGCAAAGGTCTTTCTCACATTGGTTGAACCAAAGTAAACAACGTAATCCTATTTTGTGTAAGAAGGTGGGCAGTTTAATGACAATCTCAACCCGACACGTCGAATTGTGTGATTTATGGAGGGTGTCGGGTATTGTTCGTATAAATATACCCAGTTTAGTTTCGACTCAAAAATAATAAACTCCGTTTCTTCTTTTCCACTCATAAATAACATTGATACAATGAGCGAACTTAATAATATGAACAACAATTATGTCGAGCTTTATAACGACGTCTATCAACCGGAAAGCTTCAATTTTAATAACCCCAATCCTCCAATTCAAATGCCCATTAATTTGCAAGCCCAACAGCCACCTGCTCAAGATGTCCGTGTTAATATGATGTCTATGAATACTGTCGGCTACAACAATACTGAAAATCGTACAGCATTGTATCAAGGTGATCCCTCAGTTTCTTATTACCATCCGGACGTTAATTGACAGATGAATACACCAAGTTGCGAACAAGTCGAAACTCACACAAACAGCCCTTGTCCATTCTGTGGCTCGACAAGGGTACGATCAGTAGTCAATCTATTACATACACTTTTACGCCAACGCGCACGCAAACTTCACTTTCATTTAACAACTCTAACGCAGTGAACGAACCCACAAGCTCTGAATATATGGTTATAAGAGAAGAGCAAACTCAATCAGTGTTAGGCAGTGTATCAGCTAATGCTAGCTTTGGCGAAGTGTTAGCTTTAACTCAAATGTGAGAAAGAAAATTTAGGATAATTAATGTATACTTGTCCTTATAGATGATAATGCATGTCTTTCTAATATTAGAAGTTTCTTTTTGTGGGGAGTTTCGTATTGCTATAAATACTTTAAATTAGCTTTCCAATAGTGTAAAGTCAGTTTATTAGTTTCTTTTTGGAGGTTTCATATCAGTATACCGTTGTCGCTTCTCAATAGGATGAATATTCCGATCAATAGGAGCTTCATTAAATGGCGACATGTTACACGATAAAGCCTAAATTTGACAAACAGAAGACAAAGAGTAGTCCAGAAGATAGAATTGTTCATGCATTTGGTATTACACAGAAGTTAGATTAGAATGTGGCCGCATTCCTGTTGATATCTCTGAATAGTGACCCATATCAACTCGTCACTATAGTACACCTTTAGCGTTCAATCGTAGGTGTAAACAAATAAAGAACGCAAAACTTCAATTCGTCACTATATATAATAAAAGATAAACTAAACTCGGAAAGTAATTTTGAGACCAGTAGCAGTGATATGAATGCTACGCAGCACGCTGGACTGAATAGAAGTTTGCAATTCTCAGTTTCCGGAGAGGACTTACCGAATAATGATGCTTTTCTCAATTTCGCAAAAAAGTTTGTGTAGACCGTCTGTCCTAACTAACATTACATAATTATCCTTTATCTATTTCCTTATCTTTCATGCCTTTCTCTCACTCACTTTTTTAAGTCAAATGCTAGCTCTCGTAAATCTCACCATTAACCCACTACGACACCAATATGCAGCACATGGGAGATGTAAGTTTTTATTTATATTGTACGACGAAAATGATTGCGGGAAATCTGCACGTGATGTCTTTCTGCACCTTAAGAATTCTACGTTTGCCTCTTCCATCGCTTGCAGCTTGCTGCGGACTACTCACATGAAAGTAGCCGATTATAGAACGTGCTTGGAATTATTAAGACAGAGAGTGCGCCAGATATGAAAAAGTTTGAAATATTGAACAGTGTATTAATGACGAAAATGCAAGAGAATGTTGGAAGTGAAGAAGGTAAGCTGTATGAAATATTGGAGAAGAGACAATATACTGTATAAAAAAGCGCTTTATGTAGAAAATTGTCTAGCTTCAAAATCATAATAATTCGTTGCATTCGATCTAATATGTTTGTATCATTGATAATAACTAATCGTAATCACTTTCATATATTACTGTATTAGAGGTACCATCAAAACTCTAACATCAGTGCCACAACCAAAACTATTTGCAAGCCTGGTCAAGTTCAAAGAAGAAGAAAGGAAAGAACCGATGATTATCATTGTAATGTGAGATTAGAGATCCGGCAGTGTTGGTGAGTGAAGAGAAAGGATCCTGAATTACAATGAAGGTGAGATGAGAGTATAGTATGATATATAGATAGTGTGCGTGTAAAGAATGGGAGGGGGAAGCAATAGAAACGTTAAAACAAAAGAACCAGGAATTTAACACAATCTGCCAATGAATCGAAAGTAAATCAGGGTTTCTCTTGCACTTTCCAACATTGTAGAGTTGGTTGATCCGTTGCCTCCACCCCTCACATGACTTGAATATTTTACTTATCGCAGGAATCAAAAATTCGTCAAACGACCAATCAAGAAAGGAAGAATTTCAACAATGTACACAGCAAGCACATGAACTATTACAAGGGGAAAAAATCCAGATACTAATACAACGAAAGCGCTAGAACCAAGCAAAGACACCTGGTTTGCAAAGAAGCTGCAGGGAGAACTTAGGCTAGTATTAAAGAGAAATGATTTTGTCGTTTGGTTATGGAAAGAGGATGTTGCGTTCCATCGTTCCTAGCGATCCGTGGATTATATATGAAATAATTTCATTTCGTCACTTAGTTACATCACCGACACCCCACCCACTTTATTATTCCTTTCTTTCATCGATTCTAATACTCTAGTCACAAATTAGTAGAACTCGACAAACGCAAGAAAAATTAAAACTTGCCGAGAAAGTACTCTTATGCATATCCGAACAGAACATCTGTTTGGAACAGGAGTTGTAAAGATCGCAGGATCGGCTAGGTAAACGCCGGATTGGTTGTAAAAAAACTCAAGGATGCTTCAGAAGAAAAGGAACATGTTAGAGAAGATGGGTGGAGAAGATTGGTGTATTGACAAGTTACATTAAGTTGAAGTCGTGGGGCTGAGCAGAAGCATGAAGCGAGCATACAATAATTGCAGAAGCAACAGGTAGATAGCTTGCAATAATTTGACCTTCGGGCATCAGTACTAAACGATGAAACAATATTAATATATCCAACGATCAAATATTTTACGTTTATATGCTTGTTATTTATTATAATTTAGTATGTAATAAATATACTTTGTCATCAATCATGATTAGACCTTCATGAACCTATCTATTGCAATACTGTAAGCTTCATCAACATTATCTAATGCTACTCTTGTCCTTTTCTAATTGTGTAAGAATAACATCTGAGGACAGATCCTTGGTTTCTGTATCTTCAGTCATTCTCTCAACCTTCCACAAGGTTGATGAATTCAAAAATCCAAGGGCAAACGATGCATCTCTTACTGTATAGAAACTGGCAGGAGCATTCTTACGCGGCAAGCGGAATCGTAAATATCCGATTACATATTCGTTAAGTTAATTTCTTTATAGCACTGTGATTTTTATTCTTCTGATTATAATCTTTTGTATGTATATAACTGCATTCTCTTCAATAAGAACGTTATGCACGAGCGGTTGTACTACTTTTACGCTCTCCATTGTCCTTTATACGATATGGACTCCTGCTTATTTTCAAGGAGAAAGGGTTAGGTTAAGTTGGTTCAGTTGGACGTTAATTGGTCGAGTCATTCGGTGAGTTGGGTTGAACTTCTCTAAATATTCTCTGTTCTTTTCGAGTGGATTTGCAGCATTATAGATAGAGTCCAAAAAGATACTTAGCCAATGACCTTGCTTCCATTTCTTTTCGCAATTCTCGGAAGCTGTAAACCGCTGGCTGTTTTTTCTATAATAAAGCAAATTTGTCAATATAACAACTCCATCCAACTCACGTAAACTTTTCGCTCGCCGGTTGTTCATCCCACATATTCCAAAGTCGTATTGATTCCAGCACATTAAATAACATTAATATGCTAGTGAACGGTTTAGTTTCTTTCTTCCCTACTTTCTGATACAGGCATCGAAAAATTTAATCTTAACCGTTCATCCTTAGCTTCAGTGATGGACCTAAGCTGAGAAATGCAAAGCAGGTGGGGTTTTTCCCCTTTCAAAATGAATTAGCTAGCTTCAGACCCCATTATGATTATCGGGAATTTACCGGTCGTGCAATGGACATGTCGCACAACCCGACACGTTGTACAGTCAATGATATTTCTATTTATGGACAATTGTGGCTGCATGGCGGTGTATGTGCTACTGAATTATTGCATATTCATGAAACCATTCTGAATTTGTACAATCGAAATACAAACAATGCGTCCCTTGAGAATAAGAAATTACAATAGTAATTATATTAATTTATAATATATGCGATATAATTTCGACTGCCAATCACTTACGGGTTAGATATATATAAATACTTCGAAAAACTCAATTATTAAAATCAAAGACTTCGTTCTCAGTTAGAACACAATATTTTCGTCCTGCACTCTCCTCCGAATAACGTTGATACAATGAGCGAACCGAATAATGTGAACAACGATAGTGTCGGACCTTTTACCAATGTCTGTCAATCATCTTACCCGGAAGACTTTAATTTTGAAGACGCCAATCCCCCTTCTGCCTCCCTTTCTCTCTCCGATAATGTCGATGTGATGTCTATGAATGCTATTACTATGGACTGCGGAGATTATACGGGCAAATATGCATCATATCAAGGCAATCCCTCAGTATCTTATTTCCATCTGAATCCGCCGAGTCACGATCAAGTCGAACCCCACGCAAACAGCTCTTGTCCGCTCCAAGTACCTTTTCAAACATACTGTGGCTCCTCCGACTCTTATCCCGATACCTCTATCCCGTATTCCGATACGACGAACAACAGTCAGACAGATAATTATTTTCAACATCTCGGTATGATCAACAATTCATCTACTTCATATATCTTTACGCACGAGCCCACAGGCTCCGGATATGTTGTTACGAAAGTAGAGTGTACTCAATCAGTGTTAGGCGAGATGTCGGCTGCTGACTTTAACCAAATGTTAGCTACAACTCGAATGTGAGAAAGAAAATCAAGGATATTCATTTGTCATATCTTTCTTAGTATTAAATAACAAGTTTTTTTTGTGGTGGGAGGTATCATATCAATATATATTGTTATAGTCATTATCCGTATTTTATTAAATTAACTGTTGAAATGTAAAGTTAGTTATTTCTACAGACTGTTAATAAATTATCAACATTTGGAGGCGATGAAATAACAAATGTAGAGCCGATATTTTGTTTCTTCGAAGAGAGCCCTGTACGTGGGGGTGGGGGTTCAAAAATATCTCGCTCAGCTCCGTAAAGTAAGATTTTTTGGAATTTGTCTGACAGCAATCTCTGTGCATTGTAATAAAAAAATCTGCCGCTTTCTTTTTCGTGTGACTTACACGTAATACTCTCTCTTATGTATGAAACAAGAGAAAACATGCCCGGTTGCAGACTTCGGCTCTTTTTCAAACCTTCATCTTTATTGATAGTACTTACATACGGCTCTCCAAATATGTCTCCTTGCCGGAGATCGTTTACCAGACTCTATATAAATGACGATTTCTTCGCTCGCGAAATCAACGATACTATATCTGGGGGTGCTGAAAAACGGTAAAGGGGTGGACGACATTCACAAAGAGTTAGTCATTGCTGAAGGAACTAAAGCACTATCCAAACGTACTATTTACCGCTGGATTGAAGATGCACCCCGTTCTGGACGTCGTCCCCGCGAGCTGTTACACCTTCGAACGTTAATCTTGTTGAAGATCTTATAAGTAATGACCTCATATCAGCATAGAGAGTATTCGGGAAGTCATTCCCATCTCAACTGAAAACATTGAAACCATCTTGCATAATGAACTTTCTGTCAAGAAAGTGTGTGCAAAATGGGTCCCTCACGTGCTTTCTGATGAGAATAAGCGAAAGAGAGTTGAGGTTTCCAGACAACTTTTAGAGTATTTTGACAATGGCTTTCAGAATATTATTACTGGGGATAAAACATGTTTAATTTCTTCACAGTTTCATCCAAGAATGACAATAAAGTTTGGCTCAGTCGGGAAGGAAATCGACCCCAAATCGCAAGAACGGCAAAAAATAGTAAAAAACGAATGTTTTGCATTTTCTTCTCAGTAGACGGCATTATAGCAAGTATCGTGGTAGAAAAATGACGGACAGTTAGAGGTGATTATTATGCTAATATTATATTAATAATAATGTTTAGATTCAGTGACAGAAGCACAGAGCGTGATATCACTAAGTACCTCCAGGAATGAAATAGCTAGATTGATATTTATTATGTAAATAAAAATTTGTCAAAACTTTTTGAACCCACATACTAAGCTAATAACCAAAGTTCAGTTACGAAGTTTTTTAATTGGCTGTAGTTTTCGGTAACTGTGGTTCGCACTGTGCGAAATGATCACATGATTTTCTGTTCTACAAATTTAAATATTTAAAATAATAATAATAATAATAATAATAATTCTAAGTCGAAATAATTTATATTTTAATAGAACTATTTAATAATACTGCGGTTCCCAGAGATTGTCCAACCGTGGTTTACCCTGCATAACGTCCCTGAAAATCGATATTAATAGGAATTTCTGAATTTTAGACTTTTGTCATAAAACTTTGTTAGTCTATTGCAGGGGATAATAAATGCACCCACTTTAAACCTCTCGTAACGAAAGTGAGTGAAGAAGAATATACCCTACACATCTCATTCGCTGGGAACAGATGTTACTCACTAAGAACTTACGTTTAATAAATCGGAGCAATACAGTTCGCCAAGAAGACTTACGTTTAATAAAACGGAGCGACACTATTCGAGCTGATATTCGAACAAGAGTTAAAGATGTTGCGTTAATATTATTATTTGTATCAAAACAGGGCGAGTCTTTTGTCGGCCCATAACGTAGTGGTTTCACTATGTGTTCCTTCGAACATTTAGTAACTTTTCTTAACCGACATGAAGAAGGCTAATACCAAAGGTGTTAAGTGAAATGGAGTTAATGTTTATCTTATCTCTAGTGCGTATAGAAAGGCGTATTATTATCTAATGCATACACATACGGTTGGATACAGCAAAACGATTTATCATTCGCCGGAGTTTATCTCACTTAACACATCAAAGAAGTAACGCAACCTCCATATACATTGTCATCCTCACCAACACTCTGAATATGGATAACGTTTCGCTTGGGTACGACTCATGTTGGGTGAGGAATTCCTCTTACGGAATATTCGACTGTTGGCTTTCCTCATCAACCGTTGAGAGCGTTCACAATTATTATTATTATTGCTGGATAATTCACTGAACCGGAAGCTAACCCCGATATCATTTAGGGATATTGTTAGCCTATAACAATGTTATGATTTTATGAGTTACTTGTATTCCGTTGCAACAGGGTTACACTCCGACGTCTAGCAAAGAGTTAATACCTTAATGACTGAACTAAGAAAGAGTATAAAGAGTTCGATGTGACGCCAAACGAAAGTCAATAATTCTACACTCGTTGGGTTAGGCTCCCTGAATCTTAGAAGGAATACGTGGAGAGTCGGGAATATTCGTCTAGACATGTGGTTACCGTGACGAAGTCGTATGCGTAGCGGCTAATACAATTATGATTCGTATAATCGTTAATCACGCAGGCCCACAATGATGTGATGATGAGAAGAACCCTATGTTTAGCCCATCGCGTTCACAACTTTCTCTTGTTTTTCGAGTCGTTTCACCGTGGCTTCACTGCAAAGTTCGCCAAGATTGAATTTTTAATGCTTGTTCTTTTTCAAGTTCTTGAGAAAAGACCGATTTGTGATCGAAAGTGAAGTCTCAGTCCTTGGCATTACATGTCTTTCTTCCCTCGCCAATGGACTGATTGATCGTGAGTTTTGTGATAATAATTGGTTTTGAGCTTTGCTCAACTGTCCGTGCGCGAAGGGTAGGGAGTTTTCGTCCAAGCACTAATCATGGGATTGACGAGTATAGGAAAAGGGAAGAGGTGCGATGCGTTTGAAGAATCGAGTGAGACGTCGATCAATACTTAAGGTAAAATATGTTATTGACCAAATAATGGATAAATATATTAATACGTATACATTATCTATTTGTTATAGGTATTCGTTCTCTTTGTAAGACTTACCTGAACTTGATCTGTTGCTTTTTCAAGTCTCTCTTGAAATTCTCGTATGCTCTTCTGCTCAGCCACACAACTTCAACTTAATGTAATTTGGTTCGCTACACCCACTTTCCTTAACATGTCCCTTTCTTCCGAAACACTCTTCAACAATCCTTGAGTTTTTACAACCAATTCGGCATTTTTCCTAGCGATCGCTGTGATCTTTGCAACTCCTGGATGTTCTGTTCGGATATGCATCATAATAAAGGTTTTTCGGAGTTCTATTAATTTGTGACTAGAATATTAGAATCAATGAAAGAAGGAATAATATAAGATAGAGCGAGAAGAGAGTTTTTCGAAATAAGTTTGAAAGAAATTATACCGAGTTTTTGATAAATGGAATGAGCGTTGATAATTCATTATTTGCGTTCTGACCAGTATCAAACTCGTCGAGTTGCGTAGTTTGTGGCTACAGTCGATTGCCGATAATTCGATCCCCCATAATTCGACCTTTCCAATAATTCGATCGCCTTGAGTAAGACCCGATTTTTTCATATGATTTTCTTCCTTTAATTCGATCGAACTTATAAAATTTCGATTACTCGTTAATTCGACCGCTTAAATAATTTCTATTCAGCCAATACGTATAAATAATATTACAATTACGTTCGTTAATACGGTCAATCATTTCCATTTAAGGGTTAATTGATTAGCTTTTTCCGATTATTCGACAGGCTGTATTAATTTTGTGATAAAAAATTTCGATTATCCGACCGGCACTAATTTATAATAAAATTCTGATTCTTTATTCCATCATATGTTTGTTTCCATCCAAAAATGCCTCGATCGAAAAAAAAGCCTTATGTTACGTTGAGTGCCGAACAGAAGCAGGAGATATGTCAGCGAAAAGCTGAAAACCCTCAATTATCCAACTTGGAATTGGCTATAGAATATTGTACAGGAAAAACAACCATTCAGAATATTATAGCTCGATCAGAAAAATGGATAAATATCGATATTAATGAACCTTATTATTATGCTAAAAAATTAAGAAATCGAAGGCCAAAATGGAAGAGGCCCTATCATTATGGACGTCGACTGTTATAGAAAATGGCTACCGGTGACGCCATACTCGCTAAATCTCGCGACTATGCGAGACGTTTAGAAATTAATGACTTCAGAGGAACAAACGGTTGGTTATCTAAGTTTAAGAAACGTTATGGACTGAGACAAATGGTAAAGCGTGGGGAAGCTGGTAGTGTGCCGTGTGAGAATTATTTGGAGACTGAGAGAGAAAAACTTCGTAAGGAATTAGACGAGTACAGTATGGATGACATATATAATGCAGATGAAACCGGCTTATACTGGGCGATGAAACCTTGTCGGGTTCTGACTGATCATAGGCTTAGTGGAAAAAAAAAGAATAAAAGTAAAGTTTCGATACTATTAACAACAAACGCCTCAGGAACAGATAAATTGCCACCATTGTTAATTTACAAATACCGAACACCGCGTCCTCTGAGAACTATAAATAAAGCACATCTTCCGGTCCAGTATTACTGGAATTCTAAAGCTCATATGCAGGTAATACGTTGCGTGAATTCATCTATAGCAATTAAATGAATATATGTATAGAACCAGTTATGTAATTATCTTGTAATAATTAGGTGTCCATATTCAACAAATGGCTCAAGTGGTTTGACAAAAAATTACGCGGTGAAAGTCGAACTATCATTCTCTTATTAGACAACGCCTCGGTGCATAAAATTTTCTCTGGAAACGAACCAACAAATATTAAGATCAGATTCTTACCACCCAATACGACATCTGCACTCCAACCGTGTGACGCCGGTATAATACATAGTTTCAAATCTCAATATCTTGTGCGCCATAAGTTACAATTGCTTGAAGAACGTTTGGAAAACTGCGATAATTTTGGGGAATATAACATAAAACATGCGATCTATAACGTATTCGACGCATAGAATAATGTCGATAAAAACACAATTAGGAACTGTTGGCTAAAAACCGACATCGTATCATACTACAATCATAAACCGGGCAGCCAAAGAGTTGGTAGTAGAGACAAATGAGCAAAGTACAATAATTCAGGAACTAATTAATCGAATGAATTTACCTGACCCATTGGATGCTAGTGGTAATGTTAATCATTTACAGTATTTCCCTATTTTTGTTCGTATTAATGTTATCAATGCTGTTTAAACCACAGAGTTTATTGCTTAACGAAGGTGAAGATGCACTTAAAAGTCACTGATATTTCTCGAACAATAAGAAAACATCGAATTTAAAACAGAGGATTTGACAGTCATCCGGCGTCTTATCAATCAAATTGAATTGCATCGTTTATCTTTGCTTAAGCAACCATCTATTACAAGTTTCTTATGTTAAGTTTTCAAATAATAAAATTGTGTTACCATCAAGTACATCTGATTGGATATTCGTTAATTCGACCGTCGAATTATTTGGCTGTAGTATGAGTCATATGAACTATTACTGTATATGGAAACGCATGAGTGTATATCATAAACAAACAAATCCTCCTGTAATAATAGTATAATTACATATAATTATACTATTACTATATCAGATAAACGAATTATGTCATACAAACAATCCTTCGGTATATTTACAATAGTAGTATAATATAATATATACATATAACTATAATTTTACTATACATGACAATATAAAAGTTTATATTATAATACCATTATTTTGACAATAACACTGGGTCAGATATACATATAAATACTACGAGCACACGAAAAACTCAATCATAAAATCAAAGACTTCGTTCTCAGTCAGAAACAACTTTCGTCCTGCACTCTCTTTCTAATAACGTAGATATAATGAACGAGCTGAAAAATATGAACAACGATTATTTCAGACATTTTACCAACATCTGCCAATCATCTTATCCGGAGGCTTTTAATTTTGATGACGCCAATCCTCCAATTCACCAATCTCATACTCAAGATTTCCTTCCTTCTACCTCCCTTTCTCCCTCCGGTAATGTTGATGTGATATCTATGAATACTATGGACTATAGAAATACCGGAGATTATATGGGCGATTATGCATTATATCAAGGCAATCCCTCAGTTTCTCATTTCCATCCGGGTAATACCGACACAATGGATGGACAGTTGAATACACCGAATCACGATCAAGCCGAAACCCATGAAAACAGCTCTTGTCCGTTACCAGTACCTTTTCAAACAGTTTGTGGCTCTTCCGACCCTTATTCCGATACCATGAACGACGGTCCGACAGATAATATTCAACATCTCAATATGGCCAACAATTCATCCATCTCGTACATTCTTGAGCCCACAAACTCCGGATATGTTTTTATGAAAGTAGAGTATACTCAATTAGGCAGGATATCAGCTGCTGATATTGA